GATCTTTATTTTTTGATCCGATTATTTTTGTATTTGTTTTATTCGGTTGATTTTATCCTAAAATAAGTTCGTTTCTTTGTAAAATCTAGCAAAATACGGTTAATTTTAGTAACATAAAAAAATCAAAATAAATCAGGATCACTTGATCCTGATCCTGATCTTTTCTTTGTGAACACGGGCCAGAGGGTTAAAGTAACGCACAAGAGCCGGGCTAAAATCAACGCAAAACAGTAAGCAGTTAGCGCATGCACAAGAGCAGGGGTTACAGTTAACGTACACATGCATGATCAAAATTTGCAAAGTCAGATATGATCAGACCATGCCATAATATAGGAGTCAGATAAGAAGCGAAGCCTAGTTACCGAACTAATTTACGGCGCTCTTATCTTTATTTGCACACAATTCTGTTAGAGTCCAGTAGTCTATAGTCTGACAATGGCGATGTTACATTGTATTTTTGTCTTTGGGTTCGTTTGGCTGTCCAATGCCCAAACTACAGGTGAATATTTCTTGTCATATGTCATTTATTTTTTTCCATGTAGTGTATAAATTTGAAGTTAAATGCCGAGAAGAAAATTAGTTTTAAACCGTTTTTCATATTTAACAATGGTTTAATGCTTTTATTAAGTTATCCACTTTTCTAATTTAAGGACTGTACATCTTTATATTTTTTTTTGTCAAATTGGTTAAGTGTAACGATATAGTTTTCATTTAATATAATATTTATATATGTGGTTTTATATATATTTCAGTTTCCAGTACAAACGGAACAGAAGGTAACTAATTTACAAATTTCAATATATTGTTTGAAAAGAAAGTATTACTTGCTCAGAATTATGTAAGTTTTTATTTTGAAAATCAAACTCTCAAAATATTTTGAAGATTTTCAATTCTGTTTTCACGTTGTAAAAAGAATTATCTGAAAGGTACACATGTACAATATGGACTCATTATTGTTTTGAAGAATAGAAAATATAGTTAATGTAAATTAATACGTCGCAAAGATCTTATAGGATGACCCATTCGACATACAACGTCACGGTTCAGAACTGGTCACTATTTAGGTGTGTAAGATGTGTAAGTGGCCGGATAGCTCAGTCGGTAGGGGGTCCGGAGTTCGAGTCCCGATCAGACTGCACATTTTTCTCACCCTCTGACATTTGGCGCCCAACGTGACCGTGACTGAATATAGCTCAAAGTTTAATTTACATTGTTCTGTAGCCTGAGAAATTCGAGAACGAATTTCAGTTTAGCGGGGAAGTATGTGACTGTTCAGAACTAGTCACTATTTATGGGTGAAGATGTGTAAGAGGTCAGATAGCTCAGTTGATAGAGTCGCGGAAAGGTATTCTCAAGGTCCGGGTTCGAGTCCCGGTCACACTGCACATTTTTCTCACCCTGTGACATTTAGCGCTCAAAAGGTTGACCGTGACTGCAAATATATCAGAGTTTAAATCACATTGCTCTGTAACCCTGAAAAATTTGATTCGCAATAATACGAATATTGACCACATGACAAGAAGCGTGTAATACCTTGTCGAACAATGCCTCTGTGTACTTTAACTAGTGAACAAGTTTTTCATTACATCTGTCTTATTCTCACAGAGGTCATTGTCAAGTTTAACAATGTGAACCATGAATTAAATCAAGTCTGGTTATAACTAGTTCATACAATGTCCTCGTTTTGGTAATTGGACATGTATTCTGGCCCAGGCGATTTTATTGGAACTTAATGAAATAAAAATTAGAACGTATATATGCAAGAAAAACTTGAGCTGAAAATGTCATGTGATGATATGTACAAACAAATATTTCAGGATGTGACCATAACAAAGCAGATATCATTTTCCTCTTAGATGCCTCCTATAGCGAAGGCTCGGCTAACTTCAAGAAACAGCTTGACTTTGTTAGTAACTTTACCAATGGATATGATATAGGTAGACATATATTCATTTTTGTTATTGGATTATAAAAAAATCATCATCACCATCACCACCATCATCATCATCATCATCATCATTACCAGCATTTTCACCAATATTATTACATTATAATCATATCTGCGCTCCAGTATAGCTAATAGTTAAACAATTGGTTGCCTATTGAGAAGTAAATTTTCATTTAAATATTTATTTTTGAATAGGAGAGATTTACCACCACGTCACTGATAACTGCTGTGTGGACTACGTATACACACAATCTTAGAAGGTCGTACAAACAACATGTAAACAATGATAACATTTTCTGTAAAGTTAACATAAGATGATGTTCCTGGGGCAAAGTTTTAAAGATCAGAATTATCTGAACATATATTTTTTGTAATATTCAATATGAAGAAAAAAAATACAAAACTATTTTCTAAATAGTATTGATATATTTTATATATAAGATAAGTGTGATGTTATAAAGGGTTTAATTTTTGCTAAACATCTACATGTACTTTAATTTTTATGTCTATATCAATCTTGAAACAACTCGCTACATGTGTTCTATGAATTATCATTTTTATGTGAAATATGCCTGCTAATTGCTCAGTTTTGTTTCATTTTCATTTTCCCTTTTTTCACCCTGTCAATGTAAATATGTTTTATGATTCAAGGGTATTATATTTTAGCCATTGTTAAATGTATGCTTAAGACCCAAAACTGAGTGTTGTTAACATAAATATATTAATTTAAAACTTTATGCTTAGTTCATGTTCAGTTTAAGTATTTAGCAAGTCAAAGTGACATTATGCTCATATTTTCATAGTCAATTTGAGCTGAATTGACTTTATATTTCAAAAAATTGACTGTTAAAATGGTGTTTGACCAACAGGTGATACTTGAAAATGTTTGGGATAAATTTAATTTATTTAAAAAGTTGACAAAATCCCCAGTTAAACATGTTAAATGCAGCCAATATAAAAAAGAAAAGGCAACATAATTACTCAAAATAGTCATGTGTCACATCTGTGGTTGGAAAAAAATCTGGGATCAGGTAGATATGATAATGACCTCCGTGAATTTATTTCAGAATACTAGTACACCTCTAAAACTATATCATACTTATAAGCTAGGCATTATATATTTGATGTAGTTAACGAATTATAACTTTTTTTAAGGCCACATATCATAACAAATATCTAAACAATGTCTTTATCATTGTTCGAATATTTCTTTTGCCTACAGTTTTTATAATTGTTTGAAGATTTCTTTTCCCTACAGTTTTATCTATTTTCAATAAAAAATAAATAAATAGGAAATATGAGATAAGAAAGATTGTTTTGTTTATATAATTTTGTAGTCAGTACCTTTAAAAGTACAATAGAATTGCATCGTTTCTTACAATAATTAAACATATTTTCCCAGTCACTTTGCAAGCTTAATGTTAATGCTTTACTTTATTATTTTCAATCACCTGTTTTATTCGCGATGAATTAAGTTTACGATGAATTAAGTGTATTTTATTTTTTGCTGATTTAAAAAATGATAACAGTTTCTTGACAATATTTCTAAGCAAGTTTGTTTCACATATGTCTTTATTGTAAATAAATAGTTACTCAACATATTGTTAATCTTTTCTTTATTCATGAACCATTTAACTGATATTTTCTTGAATTTATGATAATACAATCATTTTTCTATTCGGGGACTAATGATGCTTTAGCATCAAAACCTCTACTTTATTGAAACAGAGCTCATATTTATTTCATAATAGACATACACACCATAGTTTTCTTATGTAAAATGACTAGGTAGTACAAAGAGGATGTACGACCAGCAACGGTTGCTATGGTCAGTGCTTATCAGCAATTCTATTTTTAGAATATTGGCCACTGGTAAATCTCTCCTATACTGATTATCAGTGACCCTTTAATACCAAATAAGGTGTGTGAAACTAATACCAAAATCACTGGCATAACTGACTTATAGCTAATTTTATTTATTTCTGTTTTTTTTTATGCATTAGCTTTTATGATATTCTGAGCTCACGCATGATTTATACCGACGATATGCCCTTCATAATAATTCAATATCGTAACTATTGCAATAAATTTTAAATAAAAAAAAATGTTTGATATATTGTCATGTAAGTCAAAAAAATTAAATCCATGTTACAATGATACAGATATAGATATTCTACACCTTTTTTGCCATATGTTCAACTGTTATTTTCAATAATGTACTAGTATATGTAAATTATATTGTTTGAATGTACAGTCATGTTATGGATGAGAGTCTAAAAATAAAATTCTGGTTCTGTCCTGTTCTCTTTGTTTTAAGGGAAGTTTCATATATAACCTGTTGTATATAGGTTATATATAACCTGTGTGTATATGTTATATATAACCTGTGTGTATATGTTATATGTTATATATAACCTGTGTGTGTATATGTTATATGTTATATATAACCTGTGTGTATATGTTATATGTTATATATAACCTGTATGTATATGTTATATGTTGTATATAACCTGGATGTATGTAAAAATGCCTCGAATAAAACATATCTTAAGTAAGCCATAATAATGTATTGTTTATTTAATCGGTGAATTCTTTTAGTGCTTTGAATATTCTCAAAATAAGAACTTTGTCTTTTCCCCCTTACTTTACTAGCTTACTATGCAGCTCAAGGACACTTAGCATGATCCTTGCTATATTTACGTAAAGGAATTCCTGTCACGAACATGACTATATCTAGTGACTTAAGGGGAATGGATTTTAGTTATTCAAACGCGGATGATATTATGAAATATTTTGTAGAGATAAGAGCTGTATGATTCACGGAAGTTTCACAAATGTAAAATAAGAGATAAAAATAAGAGATAAACCAAGTAACTATTCATTGCATTTATTGTCATAATTATCATTTCCACCATGCACCATCACCACCATCCTCTCAGCATTCAGTGTTGTAATATATAAGCATTTCAAACTCTAATACCACTTGAAGATCTTTACTCCTAGTTAAAGGTAATTCTATTGTCTTATGGTTGCGTCATTTACTCCTTTGGTATTAATACATTACATACTGAGAAAGACATTAACCCAATTTTTTCATTATTATTTCCCCAAAAATATTTTCGGTACTAAACAATGACCGTACTGTTTTACTTTTGCTACAAATCAAAGCAAGTACGTTTTTGTACAACAGTAACTTAAAACGCATATCGTTAGATTCACTACCTACTAATTTTTTTTTGCAACTCCTTGAACCAACCAGTACTGGTGTCATATGAAGGAACATGGTCATGACCCGATTAGGGCTCGAACCCATGGTCCCTTGGTTGAGAGGCAGACACCTTAACCAAGTTGATTTATCCAAATACATAATGAACTTTATCATTCATTTCTTACAATACAGGGCCAGACAAGGTGCAAATTGGTGTTGTAACATTTGCATCATCTCCACATAATGCTTTCTACTTGAACACGTACAAAGATAAACCTTCGCTGGTCAATGGTATCCAGAATGTACCTTACAAATCAGGTAATTGACTTAACTATCATACAATTACTAAACAAAATAAATATCTTAGTAAAACTTCTCAGCTCGCCCATTTTTTAAATTGTTTTAAAAGGTGAATCTAGTTAAGAAATGATTATGAAACCTTAAATTTTAAACGAACAAATATTACCCCTCTGTATATATTTTATTTGATATATCCATTGTTTTTGTTAATTTTTTTTTCATTTTAAACTTCAGGTTTCTGTGGAAATATATTGTAGTAGAAGAATTGATTGACATATATAATTAGCCGTCTCTTTTATAAAAGCATGAATTTAAAATTCCACCTTGACTACTAATAATGACATGTCATTATTTGACAATGACTTTAATTAAAAGAAACGAAAATCAAATCTTCACCCACAGAGAATTCATATACAAGGGTATGTTGTACTTGGTGACCAAGTTCACCTTACATTCGTCATTCCAAGTGAAACTAAACGCTTACAATAATTATAAATATATGTAAATATTCAAAGTTTTTCCAAAACCTTTGGAAAATAGTTTTCTAGCTATAATAACTACATGCTACGACATTTGCACGATTGTATGAAGTGAATAATGAAGAATAACTAGATTAAGAATAATTACTATAAGAAGTTTGTCTTAAACTGTTTTGTCTATAACAAGTTAACAAAACGTTGATTGGCGTATCTCTTAGGTGGAACCTCTAACGGACGATGCTCTGAAGTACGTACGAACAGTTTAGCTTTACATCCGCCCATGGAGGCCGATATGGTGTGCCAAAATATTGGTTGTTATGACCGACGGACAATCTAGTGACCCCAACTGGTACAGCAACTGAAGCTAGAATTATACATTATTCTAATATCAAGGTATACAAAAAATTAAAACAACATCATCGTTAGACACCACACTTCTTAATTGCTCATGGTGCCATATTTCGCCGAAATGCTGAAAAGATAAATAGTGTTAAAATTCAGTTAGAAATTTTAAAACCATAGAAGTAAAATCATGCAAGTTTTTCTTAAGTTCTTCCTTCTTTAGTAAAGCTGGAAAGCCTACACATGACCATTACTGTGTCAGTGTGACTTAAGTTCCAACAGATTAAAACAATAAAAAATTCAAATCTTTACCTATAGGAACTATATTTTATACATAGGTCATAATTTACTTTCGAATTTTTCTTTGTTTCTTATTTAAAATTTATTAAAGGGATTGTGTCCAGAAACAAGTTCATGTAGAAGTCTCAATTTTGTTTCGGTTGAAGTTTTTCTTACTGAACACAAATAAATACTGAACACAAATAAAAAAAATCGAAAGCTGCTGTTATTCCCTGCGGTCTGGAGACCGCAGGGTATTGGTACGCGTTTAACTTTTGAGGCATGGAGGAGCACGTGACCTGTTTTCGGTACATGGAGGAGCATGTGATCTGTAAACCGTACATGATTGGTTAATTGACCGTTTCGAAAACCTAGCTAAATACCGTTTGCCGGTACGTTACGGATTTACCTTTAGGGAACTAGTCTGAATTACACCTAATTAAGAACAAAAAACTATTACGTGATATTTCTAATTTTCTATAATTATTTTACCGTTTCAGATGGGAAAACTTGAATGATTTGTTTGAAAATTATCAATGTTTCTTTTATTCTTTGTTTGCTCGGAATTATTCATAAAATGGTAGGCCTATTTAATTATTTTCTTAAAAAGAAATAATTGTTTTTTGTTCGACCGTCTCCGGTCTTCAACGGTCACACAGTTCCAAAGACCTTCTTATTGTCAACTATATTCCTGATACAAACGTTTATCTATCCCCCCACACAAACAATGTTGAAAATAGTTCAATGAAATATCTTTATATCATTAAAAATGTTCCCCGCAGGAAACCATTTTACTTGTATAGTACATGGCAGTAGCGTACTACTAGTAACTGTTCACCATCTTTTAACACCATTTTGTGTTATTGTTCCAGGTTATAGCCATCGGTATAGGTAGCGGTGTACAGAGCAAGGAATTGAACGCTATTGCCACAGACAGTCAACATGCCTTTACTGTACCATCATTTGATTCATTACAGACTATAGAGAAGGAAATTCAGACAGCGACCTGTAAGATTTTTAAACAATGTTTAATCACCTTTAGGACATTTTGCGCTGTCTGTGACACAGGTGTTATTACCTCTGCGCCTTCTACAAAATCCTTTAAATTATTTAGTTCAGCCTATTGTTTTTTTTTAATTTAGAGCACATAAAAGTCTTGATTTTGGCGACCCTGAGGTAATTTTTCAAGGAATGTCACGCTTCTCAATGATACATGAGTCTGTAGCACTATTGAAGCTTGCGTTAAACATTGCCATCCATGAACATGCATTGTGAAACTAAGAATGCAACCTTTTCAAATTTTCTGTTTTTGAAAACCTTTAAGGTTTTCATATTAGCTCTATTTTTTGGTATATTTATATTTACCTTATTGTTTAAACATCCACTAGTAGTCATTTGCATGGTTGTATCGCACACTATTTGAAGAATTGGCACTGGTGCAAGTTAACACACCCTTTTTTCTAAAGACATTGTATGAATAAACTTCCCTTAAATCATCGACTCAGTAATGTAGATATGCTGCATCAACAATTGATAAATATTTGCTGCATCTATTTCCTGTGAGATATTTTTCAATATTTGTTTGGTTGTTTGTTTGATTGGGGTTTACGTCACATCGACACAGTATAGGTCATATGACGCCGTTCCAGCTTTACTGGTGGAGGAAGATCTCAGGTGCCCTTCGTGCATTATTTCGGGCAGTAGAACCACCGACGTTCCGTAAGCTAGCTGGATAGCTTCATCACATAAAAGAATCCAAAGTCCATTCGAACCCACAGCGGGGAGGGGCAAGTTGTTTGAAGTCAACGACCTTAACCACTGCCACGGACGCCCCTATTTTTCAATAGAATATACAATTGAGCATAAAATAATTATTGTATTCTAAACTGAAAAATGACATAATTCACCAATTAGTTAATAACTTAGGATATAACTTTTAAGTCTGTGTTACTCGATTATTAGCCAAACTGATATTTAGTTAGTAAAATGACTGTTTTACTAGATATATAGATCTACATGTATATCTATTTAAAGAAAAAAAATCTTATTTTTACAGGTGTATCAGAGAAAATTGGTAATTATTATCTCATTATTTAAACTATATTGTCTAGGATAATTATGTATTATACACCAAGTTGATTACATATCTATCGTTTGATCATTTATATATAATTTTACGTACATAAAGCATAACAAATGACATCGGAGTACAGTCTACCTGACAATGAATATGTTCCTTACACATTATGGAACATAAACCCAGTTTGTTTTAGTTTTATCAAACATGCGTTGATATGAAGGCTGCGTTTCATTATTATAAAAAAGAATAAAAATAATTGCAAAATGGTCATCGGACAATAGCTAGGACACAATACTATGACAAGAAATATAGTGAAATAAATTATACAACGATTAAAGCTTAACAAACACAAATATTATTTTGTATTTATATAAAATATAAGGTCAGAAACATGACAAAATATATGTAATTTGAATTAAGCTGCAAGTTGAAAATGTAAGTTAATGTAGATGTAACATATACTAATTTTCTTCCTATCAATGCATAGATTTACAGACATGCGAAAGCAAAAAAGCAGACATTGTATTCGTGCTGGATGGATCTGGAAGCGAGACCGCAGCCAACTTTCAAAAGCAGTTGGAATTTGTCAGTAATGTAACAAACACGTAAGTTAATTCAACAAACTGCATAATTATATATATACAAAAGTTATCACCCTCCACGTGTTTAACGGTACAGCTGATGAGTTTGAGTAATTTTAACCATACTGAGGTATACATTCATTTTAAGTGAATGTTTTTGTTATCAGACCTTTTTATACCAGATAAAAAGGGAAAAGAAAACAAGAAGTTGACAATTACAGACTCGATTTCATTGAGTCTGTTCATGATAGTGTAATGTGTAACATCTCTCAGCCCTCGCCTCCAGAACCGGCGGTATATATTCTTAAGCACGAAAAGCAATATTCATCTCTCAGGACTCAAAATTTTGGAAATAAATGAACCCGATTGACCAGAAAGATTTAACAGCATTAAGATTAAGTATAAGAAAACATTTTTACGACCACCACACCGCAAATAACACCTGCTGTCGTAAACTATGTGTAAGACGATGTTATGGTTAAACTATGATCTATTACTATAAATGGTGTAAGTAGCTTTCTCAGTTGGCGAATAGTTCGAAGACGGGCAAGGCAGCTATCAGTATTGTAGGAAAGGTTTTACTTTGTGTTAACTGCTCTCCTTCAGAGCAAAATCACAAATTTTTAACCCCGTCATTAACAAACTTTGCATATTGGCATAGTTTTGGTTCATTTTGTGTATTGCCTTGTCCTAGCATAAAATACTGATTCGTTTCATTGACAATTATTTTAATATCTTTCATGATATGGACAAAAATATAGACGTTCGCTACAATTTCATATATATATTTTAATGTAACGGTGCATAACAATGTAATCTTTTGTACTCAGTATTACACGTAGACAAAAAGGCATATCTGTCCTGACACTGTTTTTAAAATCAAACATACATTATTGTTATGGTTAATACATTTGACAAATTTAGTTTATGATGATTGTTAAAATTTCTTGTGAAATGATTTCTCTCAAAGTGAAGATCAACATACATGTATCCGTTGCAGGCATATATGCCATAAACTATCATTAAGTAAAACTGAATTAAAATGTTTTACCATTATAGACATTTTAAAATAAAACTTTCAAAAACTGATAAGCATTGCTTCACATTATATTTTACCCCAGGTTTGACATTGGACCTAATGGTATACAGGTGAGCGTTGTCCGATTTGACACCCATGCTTACAACGAATTCTTCTTGAATGCCTACGATAATAAATCAGATGCCATAAATGCCATAATGGCCACCAAGTACCAAGGTGGTACAACAAATACTGCAGAAGCATTGAAATTTGTCAGAGAAAACAGGTAAGTTTATATGTATTTATCTTGAAGAAATATTTGTTATTTTAAATAATATAATAATAAGATACCGTTGCAAAACATAACTTGACTGTCAAGCAGGTAAAATGGTTTCGTATTATGCTAATATGCCATAAGAATAGATTGATTTGCCATCGTAATACTGTTTTTGCTTTAATACTTTTTTGTGTTATTGGCAACATATATAAATGATTTTTTTTAAATCTTTAGCAAAATGCCAAAAGATTAGAATCTATTATTGACTGACTGTTTTTTCATCCATTGCACATATTGTATCCGTTGATTGAGTCTGATCATGTGGGATAATAGAAAGGTGCAACATCCTCAAGCCCTCTGGCACCGAAGCCCCCTGGTACGGAAGCCCCCTGGCACCGAATTAATTTATATGCCATTTTTAGTATGATAATTGAAGAAACAGTATAAAGCCCACCTTTTAGCTGTGATGATTGATTTTTTCTTTAGTTTCAAACCTCAGAATGGAGGCCGAGGAAATTCTGTTACAAGACTTGTTGTTGTACTTACTGATGGCAATTCGAACTCGCATTACACCACTGTAAGAGAGGCCACAAATCTCCACCATACAGGGGTTAAAGTATGTAGCAGAATATTAACAATAACCTATGAAATAGCTATCACCATATTTTGACACTCGTGTTAATATTAGTTTTGTATGAAACGAAAAAAAAGTAAATTAAATAAAATCAGCTTGGACAAGTTTCTTTTGAAATGGCTCGGGTACCTATGTGCTAAATAGCCTGTTTTCCTAGGATATAATTTGGTACTATGCAAATTAGCCGAACCTTTTGATATCAAGTAATATATTACAATATACATATGTAATGTTATCATATCAGGCAATTTCAAACAATATAGTATGCTTTAACTGACTTTCTATTTTAATTTACTTTTTGCACATGTAAATTATATTTGAGCCGTGCCATGACAAAACCAACATAATGGGTTTTCGACCAGCATGGATCCAGACCAGCCTGCGCATCCGCGCAGTCTGATCAGGATCCATGCTGTTCGCTTCCAGTTTCTCTACTTGTAGTAGGGTTGGTAAGCGAACAGCATGGATCCTGATCAGACTGCGCGGATGCGCAGGCTGGTCTGGATCCATGCTGGTCGCAAACCCACTATGTTGGTTTTGTCATGACGCGGCTCATTTAAGGTTATATCTATCGGTATCGGGTCATCCGTATCAACTAGAGAACTTCAAGACATTGCATCTGACGCCAACCATGTGTTTAAAGTCAATGATTTCAACTCTCTTGCAACAATTCAAAAGGAATTAGAATCGGCCGCCTGTAAGTATGAATATATGTTAATCAACACAATTCATTTTCTTTCTTGATCTTTAAAAGTCAAAATAATCCTTTTACTTTTACATGAAGAATTTCATTTTTCCATCTTTCTATCTATGATCGAAGATAATCGAAACCCACCCATAATCAGTTATGAAAGTTGTACGCAAATTATTGTTTACCTATTAGAAATAATTTCACTTCATGACTTCGTTTGCTTTCAGTGTAATACATGTATAATCATCACGTATTTCTTTGCATCACACCTGTGTTTTATATTAAAAAAAACTTTTGTTCTATGAGAAACGTATGTTTAACAATTAAGAATTAGTTGTACGCGGACCGTTTTGGATCTTTGAGTCATCTTACATTCATTGTCATTTGATATACTATTTTTATGAAACTCATCCATTAACATTTTATTAAGCTCGCAAGACACTCGTTCAATTTCTTAAGAAAAAAAAAACAATAAAAAAAAACAAAAACAAAAAAATAACAAAAAAACAAAACAAATGTTTTTATCAAATCACAAGTCATACCAGATCCTTGTCATACCAGATCCTTGTCATGTTTCTAATGCAACAAATAAATGAAATTCTATCGTTTGATCAGTGACTTGTTAAACAGCATTTAATCAACAGTAATATATTAAGATTTCTCTGATACCGTTTGAATCAGGCACAACACCGTCAGAATGTGGAAATCATCCTACCGATATTGTATTTGTTTTGGACGCATCTTCAAGCGAAGGTTCTGACAACTTCCACAAACAGCTAGACTTTATGACTGACTTTGTGAAGCAATTTGATATTGGACCAAGTGATGTCCAGGTTTCACTTATAACATTCAGTTCAACAGCACATAGTGAATTCTACCTCAACACGTAAGTAGTAAAATGTCAGTCAGATTTTTTGTAGGATGATTACATAACTAGTATTTGCTTTCAGTAATAGTGTTTCTGAATTTTAATCAGGGAAATTAACTTAAGATTAATGCATTTTGATATAATCATAAACTATCATTGGAATCAAGTTCTGGGAGTCTTTTTGGAATTTGGAATAGGCGGATCATCACTATATATTCTTTAGTTAGATAAATAATTATGTGAAATTGATGTAGCTAATATCAACGGGTTTAATCAAGCAAGAAATGGCAACACAACTGTTGGTTTGTAAACAGTTTATTTCATACCTCTATTTTTGAAAATTTGTATTTGGCAATTTTCCTATACACTTAGATAAAGATTGATTAATTCATTGAACGCCGCCTTTCCTTGTTGATCTTGTTTATCATACTTTATATTCAAAGACACTATATGTCATGGTAAGTTTTCGTTCCTAGAAATAAGGACAAGCCGAGCCTCATCGCTGACATCCAGTCAGTCAGATACCGGGGAGGCACTACAGCCACATACGATGGTTTACGTTATGCACGTTACTACCATTTTGCCACTTATCACGGCGCACGTGCAAACGCTACTAGACTGGTTATTGTAATGACCGACGGTCGCTCAAATGACGTCAGTAGAACTATAACGGAGGCAGTTGCACTTAAGGTAATCATGTTTTTTTTAAAGAATGTGAGGTTTATCCAAGAATGTGAGATTTATTCAAGAAGCACACTTCTCTAAAGACTAATTGAAGAACTTAATATGATAATGCATGACTACGCGTATGGGATGCATAATTTAACATATCATTAATTCCTTACACTGAACAATAAATGAAAAGATATATATGTATAGCGATGAACTGTGTTGACATAATATTGGGTTATGATCTCAGCCCTAGTGTTGTTCATGGTCTTCCATTCGTTAATGTTTCCAAAATGTTTCAGGAGTCTAAGTTTGAACATCATACATAAATTCGCATGTATATACACAAACCTTGTTTGGAATTGTCGACTATTGTCTATAGGAGGTTACAAACATGTTTAATCTCAAGTCTCATGCATCTCCTCTAAGTAACATTTATTTTTTACTAATACTTAGAATTCAGGAGCAAAGGTTATTTCAATCGGTATTGGAGCAAACGTAAACCAGTATGAACTCAACACGATGGCTACAGATCGCAATCACGCCTTCACTGTGGGAAGTTTCGATATTCTCCATACTCTGCAGGAAGAAATTAAAGACGAATCTTGCGGAGGTATATATATAGAATATATACTTTGGTTAATTTGTGAATATTTTGATGCCTATTGTGTTTTATATGTTGTTATGTTTGTTGAAGTTAAGAGTAACATCAATATAGCGCTCGATTTGTCTCTTGAAAAATGGAAGTCTGTTATTTTTGAAAGCAAAGAAAACTGTTCTTAGTTTATATCATTGACTTGTTTATCTTTGCAGCTGGAAAGCCAAAGCCTACACCGAATCCTGGTTAGTTATTATTTCTTTAGTAATTGTAAATTGAAGACTTTATGGCTCTGACATGGTTTTCATCAATATATTGTATAGTGTATACCGTACAATTTTCGTATAAAAATGTAAATTGCCAGTTACATAGTTTATTTCTTTTGCAAATATCATTTAGAAACGACCTGCTACATTAATTGAATGGTGTATCATTCCAAAATATTTATAGATTACTTATTAAACTTATTGAAACATATATTTTTAAATTCATTAGAATGTGGTAGCCAACCAGCTGATATTGTTTTCGTGCTTGATTCGTCTGCAAGTGAAGGAAGTTCTAACTTTCAAAAGCAGGTCGATTTTGTCAGGGATTTCGCTTACCAGTTTGCTATTGGACCTCAGGATGTTCAAGTATTAATCTTAAAGTTTTTACTGCCCACAGAATAGATTTTACAACTTAATTGAATTATTGTTAATCTCAAATGTATTTTTCTCTAAATTTATTTCTTTTGTAAAGGTTGTTAAAGCTTTTTCACCAAATTTATTCCTCACGCGTATAACATTTTCATTTCTTTATCAATGGTTAGAATGGTCAAATGGTTAAGTTAGATATGGTAATGTCGGAAAACAATGTGAAGTTAAAAGCATTACAATAAAAGGAGGCGTATATATGAATAAATTCTTCTTAAAACTCTCAAACATATTGACATCACCATTTAAAATAGAATTATTTGAAATTCTAGTTAAACTTTAATGAATAATTTATCTGTATACTCATTGACTATCCAAACCCACATTTCAGATAAGCGTTATTGTATTTAGCAGTGGAGCACACGAACAATTTCCTCTTAATAAGTACCACGATCAAGCCTCTCTATTAGCGGCTATTGCAAAGATCACATACAAATTTTGGGCCCAATACAGATAAATCTTATATGTGGGAAATAGTTCACTTTGGCTAAAGTAGGATTTTTCTATGGTTTTTACGATTTAAAAACTTGCTGTATATCAATTTACTGCAAAACCATTTATGCTCACGAAGTGACTTCACATGTAGTAATCAATGTGAATCAGTGGATCAAAACTGATTAATTGAATTGAATTGAATTATTAACAGGTGCTCGGCCAAATGCAACGGATCTTGTGATTGTTGTGACAGATGGACAGTCCACTCATCCTACAGAAACTGCTAGAGAGGCCCTTTTGTTGAAAAATCGAACCAATACGAAGGTCGTCGCAATAGGTGAGAAATTATTTGTATTTTCTGATCCATGAGATAGAGTTGTCTAAACGCCAACATGATATAATTACAATGCAATATACACATTAAAAGTATTGTAACTTAAAATATCTTTCATGTTGACAATTTGTAAGTATTAATATGTAAGAATTTGCACATACATACGTGTATTTTCATGAAATTCCATATTTCAAAAAAAACAGGGGGAAAGGGGGGTTTCTTTTTTTTTAAAACACATCTTAACACCGATATGTATACGCCTACTAATGACATTTGAAAAGAAACATTATGCGAAAATTTTAACACAAAAAATGTTTAATGAAAGAAATTTTTCATACCAAACTTTTTTTTTTAATATATTTGTTTTCTGTGTGTTTTATGTTTTTTTTGTTGCACATGTGAAATACAGACATTTTCTCTATTGTAGGTATCGGCAACGGAGTAGATCACAGTGAACTTGAAAAAATCGCATCTGACAGTGCACATGCCATAGCTGTAGCTGATTTCAATGCTCTAGCAACCATTAAATCAGAACTCACATTCGTAGCATGTCAAAGTAAGCATACGTTAATGTTTTTAATACTTTTGAGAATTAATAATTGTTCTTGTATAACTGGAATCAATATATTTGATGTTTTAGTTAAGTTTTCCTTCGGCTCATTAGAGAATACCACTCTCATAAAAGCTATGACTTTTTCTATTGAGCCATGAAAATATAAATATTGTACGATGCCATATCTTTTTCCCCTTTCTACTTATACTCTGTTTTTTCGATACAGTATGTATATTTTCAGCATGTGGCTTCATTTCCAAAGCCGACATCGTATTTGTGCTAGACGCGTCTTCAAGCGAAGGAACATTGAACTTCCAAAAACAACTCGACTTCGTCTCACGTGTGGCTAATGATTTTCAGATCGGACCAAACCACGTCCAAATTGGCATGCTTACCTTCTCGGACTATCCAAACCTTGAGTTTTATCTGAACCAATACACCGACAAGCTTCTTTGCTTAGTGCTATTCAGAAAAAACAGGGTACCTTACCGGAGTAACAAACACAGATCAAAGCACTCAAGTATACACGAGAGAATATGTTCTCTCCGAAACATGGTGCCAGAGACGATGCTAAAAACTACATGGTTATTTTGACGGACGGGGCGTCATCAAATGCAAACTTGACGCTACAGGAAGCTAACTTGCTAAAGAACCAACACATCGAAATTCTTGCAGTTGGTATTGGTTCTAATATAAATTCAAATGAGTTGAATAGCATGGGGTCAGACTCAAACCATGTGTTTACAGTCTCGTCATTTGATGCTCTGAAGACTGTCCGTACGGATATTAAAAAGGCAGCTTGTGAAGGTATGCTTTAATATGTCCAATAAATTTTCTCAGCTTTATTCATTATTATACCTTTTTACTTTTTGGCAATCTTGCATTTTGTGACTAGAAAAGAAATTTTCATACTTCTGAGTGTTTGGAAACTTTTTGTTTTGCCAGTCCAATGAACGTTGTAGATTCTATTATCGCTCATTCCTCGGATTATTGTGAGACTTTTGGGGGTTTTTGATATTAGACATGCGGCTAAATCGACATCTTAATTTATATAATTATGTAGTCGATACTTATATCTTCGTAAGCGGTTAAGTGTATAGAACTACGATTGCTTGGTAATGGAGAGAGGTATTAACATCCATTAAAATGTACTATTCACACTTGAGAATTGTATCGAGTTATCACAATCTGGTACACGATTTCAAAGAGAGCCATTTAATTAAAAAGCAAATATCTTTTTTCTGTACCATTATTTCTCTTTTCCTGAAATTCACATTTTGTCCCCTATTTTTCATTGTACAGAGGTAACGACAACAACGACTACACCTATGCCAACAACTACTCCAACGACCTTGAGTAAGTTATAAATGTATGTGTTCTATGAATCAAGACAAAATTTGCCAAGTTGTAACTTAACGTTCTGATACACATCTGCCATATTCTAGATCCGACTTTTTAAAAAAAAGATATTTTGATATGTGACTTTTGTGATATGCAGGCTTCATAACCTCAGATCCTCTTTCAAAATTCCATTTTATTTAGTTCCACCCATTGTTTTCTCGTTAAGGGCAACAGCATTCTTTTACTTGGGGACCATACGCCGCTTTTCATGGAATGACGCTACTGTGTCACATTGAAGGTTCCATGATAACCGCCGTATGAAAACATCTGCGGATGTTTCTAAATTCAAAATTTCGCCATTTTCGTGTTAAATGTTGAATTCTGCTTAAGCCGGTGCTAGGGGGCGTGGACGGTAGCTTGCACTTTCCAGTACCGTCCATGAACAGGCTCAATCAAACCGAGCCTGCAACATTTTCAATTTTGTTGTGTTGGACTTTCTACAGGGATTCTGTTTTTCTCTATTTTATCAAAATGGTCTGTTTTGTCAATTTGTTTTTGACGAACATAAGAAAACACTCAGTGTTATAATGTTTTGTTGTTGTGATATGATTTTAAATTTTGTTGTTGTGATATGATTTTAAAAGAAACAATATTGTTTTTTAAATTTCACCCGATACTGTTTTCTTCAATGAATTGTTCATAATCATAGAAAAACAAAATCACTGTTCTTTAAAATTGTCTTTCATATCGGTAGTTACTGTCATACATAATTAAAGATAAACTATGCCCATCCTTGCATAAAATATTTTAATTGCAGAAATTTATTAAATTTTATTTGAATTCTTACTAAATATGTCTAATTTGAATAAAAGAATGAATAAACTATGTATGGGTAGCTTAGTTTCCTAGTATAGATCAAGTAATGTAAGTATTTTTTGAAATACACTATATATATTCATATTGTGGCCACCTATAGTGAATAGACTATAAATTACAACATTTCTACTTTGTGTGGAGTCAAAATATGTTTATTATATATTTACAAAAGGTATTATAGCAAATATCAATATTTTCTAATATAAAATTTGGGCAAAGTATATCTTTAAAATATTTAGATGATTATACCAAATTTGCTATCAATATATTTTCAGAGACTACAACTACGGAACATTTCATACCAGGTACTCATTTTCTTAACAAAGTATCGTTTATATCTCTTAAAAATTAATGTTTAAAATAAATACAAATTAATGCAAAATTTAATTGTAAAAAAAAAGACTTTATTGTCTGTTTCAAATACAATAGAAAATATTTTGATACAATTCTATGAATTAGAAAAAAAGAGAACGTTTCTGGTTTCGTGAATATTCTGTACTTCGACACCGTGTTTAAGAAGTCCTTGTTCTCTTTTACAGATACTACAACAGAACACTTCATACCAGGTTTGATTCTAATCAGTTACTAACCTGCAAAATATTTAAATGGACTTGTCTAAATTCCATTTTTGGAACTGTCCATTATCAATTTTAGGGATCTCAAGATAAAATCTAAATTTAGCCTGTCAACAGTGTAGAGGTTGTTTTTACAGGCTAGCCTGGTTCTACACTGCTGACAAAGGTTAATCCTTTTCGGTTTCAACATGTGAAGGATTTAGAAATTACACTTGCATAAAAAATCTAATGATATCACTTTTTTGCAATCACGTTTTAATACAATCATTTGAGTATAACCATCCTATTGTTTACCTTCGCCATGAAGAGTATTCAAATAAGTTAGAATTAATGTAAACTGCATTTAAACTAAGGGCCTCGAGTTCAAACCCCAAAACGACCAACTTTTTTTCTTTTTTTCTTCTTCTTTAAACATTTATGTATGTATCTCACATATGTCTTTTGAAAAAAGGGTTTAATTCTAATTATATACTTAATAAAGTTATATATTGGCTAAATAATGCTAAGTCTTATAGAAAATATGGTACCTGATATTTTAAAGTCTAATAAACTCAAAACTACACAGTAAATTTATTTAATATTTTACCAGATTACCCAACATACTTTTGAAAAAATCAAGGCAAACTTTGAAAACAGCCCCTTATTTTGGTAAATTTTAGAGATTGTTTTCAATTAGGCTGTTTAAGTACGAAAATGGTCAAACACGTGTTAAAATGGGTAAAATAGTGTAACATATATCATAAATTTTTGAGGAGAACAATTTATTTTATTGGAAAACATTTTTCATAAGAATGACATTCTAGGCTATTTAAATATTCACCATTTCTGAAAAAGTGCCCTTTTCTCATCCAAGCTCAAGTTCAGAAAAGTGGCCATAACTTGTTTACCGTACGGTAAAGTCTGTTTGAATTTTGCATGCAGGTAATTTAAAGGCATATATCTGACCGACATTGTCATTTTTTTAGAACAGTATAGTGCCCGTTAGGGTGGTCATGCCTTTGAAGATCCTGTATGTTATAATTAAGGTTATTACCACACTTAAGTAAAGTTTTATATAATTATGCTTCTGAAACAATTTTCAAACATCGAAAAATATGTAAAATATTTACTGCAAAAATTAATAATACCCATTTTATTAAAATAAATATGAAATCCAACTTAATTTACTTGGATAAATTCAAAACTAATAGAAAGAAAAACTATAATTTTAAACCCCTCTTTTTAATACTATTATTAACTAAATTTTGGATAAAAATCTTTAAAAATGTAGGTTTTATCAGTTTTACATTTTTATTAAAAATTTAAATGAAAGTTTCCCATTAAAGTAATCTTTAAATACAAATAAATTTTTATAAACTTAAAATATTATAAAATAAAATTTTTCCCCGGGTTCTAAAAAATAAATATAAAATTTTCAAAAACCATTTTTTGGGTAATAAATTTTAAAAAAAAAAATAAAAATTTTATAGTATAAAATAAAAAAAATCTAAAAATTTAAATAAAATAAAATTATTTAAAAATTTTAAATAAACTTTACAAAAACAAAAAATTTCCCAAACTTTTTATTCGTTTAAAATTTTTTAAAAGAAAATTATGATTAATTTTTTATTTTTTAAAAATTTTTTTAAACAATTTAAAACAAAAATAGAAAAATATTTCCCAAAATTGATTAGAAAAATTTACAAATACTTAATTTTATGTGAAATGAAAAACTAAAAATCCTTTTAAAAGAGTAAAAAAATATATTCAATACACTTTCATTGGTTATCTTTTGATTAAATTTAAATGGTAAAAACAAAAAAATAGTAAATTTTTAATTAAAAGACAAAAAAACAATAATTTATTCCCCTTAAAAATAAAAACCCTGAACCCCAAAAAAAAAAAAAAATTTAAAATTTGGGGCCAGTTTTATTCCTTTAAAATTTCCGGGTTAAAGAATTAAAAAAAAATACATGCCCTGTTAAGCTTTTTCAAAAATATACCCTTAATGGCGATCCTTACACCTTCTTTACAAAACATTTGATTAACAACCATTGCTGTGCAACAGATCTTATATATAAATTTTTCGTTTTATAACATCCATTACCATCCTTTTTTATACTAATTTCGGGACATATTCTGCTTGTAATAAAATTTTGAAAATGAATGAACGACATGGAAATGACCGGCATCGAATTGTTAGAGCACACACGATTCATTGCGTTACTCCCATTAGTGATTAACCTTATAAGTGTGTCGAAGATTGCGATTCGTCTTATCGTGTTGTTGTATAAAATCGAAAGGATTAAATTTGTCGGTATGTAACTTTACACGAAAATGGGTCTTCAATGATGCGTAAAAAGCAATTAAAATGTCGCGTGGAAATCTGAAAGGAATTGTTTACCGTGATGCCACATTGCTACCGAAAACCTACAAAATCACGGCGTTCTGAGACGCCGTAAATAAAGCACAGACCATGTATCTGTTGCTAACAAACAAAATTAATATATTATAAACGGACTACCTTCTATTAAAATGCAAAATTTTGTGAAACTTTCATACCTGAGTTGTATGTCTTTACCTTTTTGTTTTTCAGATCAAATATGTTAGACAATCAACTTGACATATGCAATGATTTTGTAGTCTTTAAAACAAATAAAATTGACAGAAGCATGCCGATGTTTTGATAAACCCTTAATTTGAAATTAATCTAAAGAGACAAACTATAAGATCTGAAATTGTACAATAAATTTCTACAAAATCAGTGTTTCTGCAAGCAAACCGAATCATCAACCCAATTTTCTACAAAAGACATAATGACCTATATGATCTTATTTTGTCAAAGCTTATTAATCTTGTAACTCTTATTAATTGCGACCAAAAAGTGTCGTACAGTAAAACAAAATATATTATTTCATATAAAACAAACAAATGTCTAGGCAGAAAGAAAAGTGTGTTGATTCTCTTTTTTCCAAATCAATAAATTCAAAAAGTTTAATTATAATATGAAACATGAATGCTGACAATATATATACATGTATAATCTATTCATATAATCTGGTAATTTTGTGAGAAAATACATGAATACAATGTCATTTTGAATTTGCATGTTTACAAAAGCAGAATGTGTTCTGTATTTTCGATGTAGGGATTTTCTACCATTGCGCGTGTATTGAACTGATCCCTCCTATGGACCTTCGTTCATTGTTCATGTATTTGTTCCCCTTCATTTATTTTGGCGCAGAATGTGTTTAATTAATATGAGTTTCGACAGGACTACACAAGTCAATTGAATAGGGGAAATTATCAATAGCAAGAAGAACATCATGCCTAGTCTGGAGTTCATTCCCCTTATACTACGTTATAGCTACTTTCCGTAGTAAATGTAGGCAGGGAACCAGACTAGATCATGCCTTGGTTAGAATTGCTTAAAGATCCTGTATGTTTTGTAATTGATATTGTTACTGTGTTTATACCACACTTGCAAAAAATTATACATTGTATATGTATATAATTATGCAAATAAAACAATTTTCAAACATCAAAGAATATGTCAAATGTGTACTGCAAATATTTGTGCCCATTATAATTAATCAATAAATTATATGCATTCATTTCTTATTGGAAAATTTTACTTAAAATTTATAGAAAATAAATTTCTAATTACCTCCCTTTATTTACATGAAATGTTAAATTCGGTAATATCTTTATAAATAATGCTTATTGGAACTTACAATATAAACAAATCTCAATTTGAGCATCATATTTATGAAATAAAACCATGAAAAAATGTGTGACAGGATCTTTAATGACGAAGAAAAAAAACTAATAAAAGTACACACGTTTTTAAATTACGAAAAACATTACGGCAAAATAAATGTAGCCGTGTCTGTTCCTTGACGAAGTGTTGAATGGTAGACACCGTCAACGCTCCCTATCACCGGCTTAAGCAAAATTCAATATTTAAACATGAACATGATGAAATTTTGGTACAAAACAACATCCGCAGATGTGGTCATAAGGCAGTTTTTATGGAACCTTGAATCAAACACGCGTTTGACCCCCAAGTAGAGAAAATTAACAAAAATGTTTGCGCATTCCAGAAAACAATTGGTTAACCTATTGAAAATAAAATAGAATTTTGAAAGGAGGGAGATATAACGAAGAAATAATGTCACGTAAAAGCCGTCAATAGAAAAAATAATTAAGCAAAATATCATAAGGGAGATTAAACAGTATTTAAAAAAAATTGACACTTAAGCCACGCTTCAAGTAAGCGAACAAAGTGAAGGAACTAAAATGATTGCAAACTCAAGAGTAAATTCGTTTTGATCGATCTTAAGGAATAAAACATGTGTGATTGAATATACAGGGCAAAATTTACAGTCTTCTAAGGCATTAACACCGCTAATGTAGCAATAAAATAAAATACAGATAGGATGGTGTTTAAATAAAACGATGTAAGCAACAAGGTTAACGTCCATATGTGGAAACTTAAACAAAAGCATCTATTATTTTTATTGTGTCACGGTTTCTTTTTTCAAGAACAAAATTTCCGAAATGCTACCTTTTTATATGAAATGTTTAATATTGTTCTGTTAATGGATTCATACACATGTATATTTTGTTTATGTTAAGTTATCGAACTTACACTCGTAAAGCAATTTTGTCGATTAAAGAAAATATTCTAATAACGAATTGAATTACATTTTCTCTTTCTGTTTTTAATTCTAATCTGTTATTACACTATACAGTTTATAATCATTAACCTTATTTAATACGAAAATGAACATGATCAGTTGGATTTGAAAAAAGAATTTTCAAAATGTAAGTTTTTGTAAACAGACATAAACAGTTTCATGTAACCAGTACAACCGCCTTTGAAAAAAAAAACGGTAATCCTATTGATAAAACGAAGCATAATTAACTTTACAGTCAATCCGAGAAAGCCATATGCTATCCTTAGCTTATCTTAAGGAGAATTATACAAGTCTTTATCCACAAATTTGCTTAACACTTCAGCTACATTGTCTGCGTCAGGTAGAGCATATGATTCATCACCTGTCGGAAAGAACGATTCTTTTATTTTTTCTAATTCCTTTTCTATATCCAAGTCAAAATAATTGGTTTCCTCTTTTTTGTTCTCTTTTTCCTTTATTCTTATTGTGTCTTGTCCGCTCCCTGCTTTGTTGTCTAGTTCTTTTTTATCATGTTCAGTAATTGCTGCTCCCGGATAAAATTCATCTTCAATACTTGTGTTGTTTTTCCCGATTCCATTTATGCTCTGCTCAGAATCACACAGATGATCGGAAGGGTTTTGTTTAGGAGTGGTTGTTATGTTCACGTGTTCTTCAGATTCTTTCATGTCGGGGCATACTCTAACAAAAGGATCATTTTTACGATTAACTTGGATATTCTGCTCGGTAGCCTTTTCTTTTGCATCAATATTGCTCACATTTTTATCGTCTTTATTCTGAAACGACATGCATCTGGAGTAAGTATCTTTTTGAACTCCGAATAATAATCTTCTTAATAAAAAAATTAAAACAATGTGAGCATAGTATAGTATTCGTTATGTTTCATCAGTTTACTTCTAACTGGTCTTCATAATTAATGAATTATTGCATAAAAGAAAATTATAATAAGTAGTCAGTGAATATTATTTAATCAGATTAAACATTTATAAAAAGTAATAAACTTTACATCCCAACGTATGTGCAATTCTATTTTGTAGGAGTAGTATTGGTATTAGTGAGCAAAGTAATAAGATAATAAATTATTTAAAAGTATAAACATAAATGAATACTTCAACAAAACATACTTCCATGAGTGGCTTCCCATTGAATGTTATGAATAAAAACCTTTCTGAAGCGGTACTATCATAGTCAATATTTTTGGCCTTCAGATATGTCAAGAGTTTTGGTCGTGCGATATTTCCGTAAACAGCTAAATCCTCGTATACTTCTTTTCCAATAAAAAGATTTGTTTTTCCAGTCTTCACAAGAAAAAATGTGTCATTCTCCTTTGTATTGATTTCTTGAGCTTCACAGAATTCTTCGTGTGTAATTGATAATACCGTTTCTTTGCCAACATTACATTCGTTCGAAACAAGGTCGAGAACAAAATTCATAAACATTTTATAGTCATTTTGACGAATTGGTATAGAATCTAAAAGCAAATTTTCTTTTGCATTGTCAATCATATACTGTTCAGTTGTACTTCGTTTATGTTGCTGTGGTTTTGATTTTGATTGATCTTTCTTTCGCTTTTTATTTCGTTCTCGTTTGACAGTATTTTTATCATTATTATTGCAATTAGTTTCAACACTGGTTTTGTTTAACTGAACTGATGTTTCCTGAAGATTTGATACTTCGTTTGTAGTATACCTAGAACAGTAGGAGCAATGGGCCACTTGTAACCTATGTGTTTGTTGTCTTGATCTGACATATACATCTCTCGCGTAATTAGAATTCCCCGGTACTTCATCATCATGTAATGCCATATACTGTTGAGAATGTGTGGAGTTGTTCCCAAATGTTTGGTTTAAGTTGTACGGGACTAAAGGCATTGGCGTTGTCACTTTCAATGGGGGTTTCCTTAAAAGAAAAATAAATAAAAACAGTATATGCATATTTAAATCTTACAAATATTTCTTTATCCTAAAACCATTGTAAAGGAATCAATGATTCATTCTGCCAGAAAGTCCATTGCAACATCACTTATGTACTAAAATGTTTTTACATTAAGATGTCGACGAAACACAAAAATCGCCATCAATAAGCTAGTCAGATCGTCATTCTCACGAATGGTCAGAAATAAAACACTTCCATGAAAATATTTTTGAGGAGGTTAAAAGTATAATAACTCCCAAACTTTTTGGGCTAATTCATATTTTTCACTTTGATGTACAATCAAACTAATCAAATCAAACCTTTCGATAGAAAGAACTAGTTCTAAAGCTTCCTTTGCCTCTATTGTCGCAGAAACAGCATCTTTTATATGTTCAAACGTTGCATTTGTCCTGCCCAAATTGTCAAGCCATTTATTGAATACTTTTATGTACGCGTGAATAAAACAACTTTCTGTATGCTGATTCTTTGCTTCTAGCTCAATTTCATCAACTGTATCATGAACGCTTTTCGCCATCTGCTGGCAATTGCCTAGAGACAATGTAATACATATTTCAATATCAATTATATGTCGTAAAACTATATTACAGCACGAACAACTCAAAGATCTTTTTTTACTCTTTTCTATGTCTCCTCAACTAAAAACTTTTAAACAATTTAACGGTATGATGAGTAAAATAATGTTTCAATGTTTCATAAAAATGATTTACATACGTTACTAAAGCGTGAGTCTATGCTGAAGCGAATTTTAAAATAAACTTGAATTATACTGGCTTACTGAGTAAATCAATTGCAAATAATTTCCACTTTGATGCAGGAAACGATCTTGATAATTGTACGAAAACCTTTATCCAGTTTATTTGCAATTCGGAAGTACCTGAAAATTAAAGATAAATTAAATAACATTCAAATAAAGAAAACTTCACAAATGTCACATCATATTACATGTATTTGAAACGATAAATAGAGTTTAAAATATATTAAAAAAGCATTGAAAATGTTTGCCTTAAAGTTTGTTTATTATGTTGGCCTTAATGCGTTTAATTGTTGTATTTCTTTTCTCTTGTAAAAAGAACATATTACGTATTATACAGTGTTTTTACAATGAAATTTTGATAAATCTTATTGAATGTATGACTTAATTCCGTATATTTCTTTATCATCCCCCGTATAAGTTTAACCTCGAACTTTCTATCTGTCGACCACGTTCTATAGGCGGACAGGTCGTTCTTATGTGCCAAAAGTTTACGTACATGTATAGTTATTTCTAAAACCATCCATCAATGCCAGAAAAGATGAAAAGACACTTTTTTAACATATAAAGATGGATGAAAAGGACTGGACATGACCTATATACACTGCTCTATCATATCATAACTTTTGACATGCAGTTATGACCTTAAATGATTCTTGTGCGATACATACCATGTAGCCTCAGTAAGCCTCAAATGTATGCCAAACTATTTTAAATTTCAAACTGCAATGTCATTAACATAACCAACCGTGCAAATTTAAGAAACGTTTAAACATTTTTTTCACATATTGTTAATAACTTTTGGTACTCAAGTGTTGCCGTGACCTTCGAGACACTGGCTAGGCTCTTTGGAGTGACATGACTACATGTATTATGTCAACCTAAATCAATACATGTATGGCAAACGGGTCAACTGGAACAACAATGTGTTTTTACAAAAGTTAATTGTTACCATGATCTTGAGGTACCATTCTTGAAATTACATGAGGCACTATGGCATCTTTTAAAAACATATTTGGCAAATTATTTTACAATTCATTTAGAAATGACAAAGTTGTTGCCCAGACAACTCTGGGTTGGTTTGACCTACAACCTACTTATTCAGAATAATTACGTCATGAACCAGAAGAGGAAGACAGACGGACAGACGATCAAAAAATATCTTCTTCCTTCCTTCGGGAGGAAAATGTTGAAAGTATGTAGACTCTTATATTTGTCTGATGAGTCTATTGATATCATGATAGTAAACGCTGTGGCAAATATTTTTAAATAAAATATTATTTGTGCGTCTCAAATACTTTAATCAATAAGTTCGGTTGAGTTTTTAGAACTAAGTTTTCAGTAAAAGTTATTGGTCATAAACCCTTATCTAGATCCATGGAAGATAATGATTGGTCCCCTGATCTGTGACATAACTGGTTTTCTTTGATTTTGATTTCTGATCCCCGTGCTACATAAGAAAAAGATAACATATATTTTTTCGTTAGAGAAATAAAAAATTAACGTTACGTATTTATTCACGCAATTCGACATTGACAAATGACTTTTTACAGCACTAACAATTGACTTTAATTTTTTAATTTTTTCATTAAAACAAGTAAGCCCTTTAAAAATATGCATCAGAAATGTTTGTGTTCTATGTATAAATGAAATTAGGGGATGTGAATTCGTTGTCACTATTTTATTTTCATTTACATTTTGTACAAATTTTATTACGTTTTTTTCCAGTTTCAAACATAATTAGAGACAAAAGTACTAAAAGGTCTATGTTTAGAAATAATTTTAATTATTTACCCTCTGTATTCTCATAGTCTCCAGTTACCTGAAGACTTTCCTTTGTTATTTGTTGTAATCTGTCATCTATGTGTCCAACCTCTTTGCGACCTTAAATACAGCATGAATCATATTATAAGGATTAATTGGTGGACCAACTTAAACGGGAGCTTCCGCAAGAAAGACGATACCCTAATCATCACTCATTCTCCATTACATAGGCTTTTATGACAGCCCATTTATAATCATTTAAAAAGGTGAACATTCGAGTCCAGTTTAAGAGAAATACTTCAAGGGATAAATAGAATGGGCACAAAATTGTTTGATATCCGGCCTGTAATGATGATCACAAGCTAGCCATGTTTAGGTGAATATTTTGGCCAAGTGTGAAGAAAATACTTCAAGGGGTATAGGATTTATAGAATGGACACGAAATTGTCTGATATCCGATCTATAATAGTGATCATTAGCTAGCAAAGCGGTGGCATAGGTTATGCACATCGTTTGTATAGGTGAATATTTGGGCCAATTCGACTGGCATTTGACATTTAAAGGTGACCATGAACATTAGCAAATACAACAACAGATTAGGTTCAGAACAATGTCTTTTAAACATTTGAGGAATGCTTCAATGGCTATATTATTTATAGAGATGACACGATAAAGTGTGAAATTTCAGCTTCAATGTTAACCTTGACCCTGAGCGAGCATAGCTGAGGCATAGGTTCTGCAGCTTGTTTGATAAAATTCTCTTATTTAGTAAATGATTTATAACACAAACCACGGAAGTTTCACTAGACATTCAATAGTAGTTTTGACCAGAAGCCGGCACAGCGGCAGCATATGTTTTGCTAACATATTGGTCAGAGCCAAATTTGAAGTGAAAACCTTTAAGATAATAAAATTTATAGAGTGTACACAAAATTGTCTGACAGTTGACCTTCAAAGATGACGTGAACCTTGATCTGGTACAGTGCAAGTATGGATTTTTTACATCGACTTCTTGACATTTGATTTTCAGAGAGTGTTAAAATATATTATGAAATACGTTGTCTATTTGCAAATCAGTTTGATAAAAAATCCCAAAGAACCACATTTTTTAAAGATTTTTACAGAGCCGAAAATTCGATGATTTCACTCCAAACAGGACCTTGACCTTGAACTACAAAGGAACGAAAACAGTTAGTGATCTCCTAGTAATATAAGCAATTTCATGAATGCGACATGGCGTTCATCAGGCACAGTGGAATGCTATCACAAAGGATGCCATACAAAAATGAGTACATTATACATTTCAACAGATATAACAAAATATATTAATATTTGACAAACCAATGCTCTTTGCTTCATCATATGGATATACCACAGCAATTTGCCTTTCAGTTTTCTTTGGGTTTAATGGTGTTGTTTCATTGTCATCATCTGATTCGTAATTAATGTTTTGATCTGAAAAAAGGATAGTACATATAAAATGTGTGTTTTTTTATATAAATTAATACATATTTTCTACTAATGTATACACAGAAGCTTAAGTAAGTTGCCAAACCAACAAAAAGTAATAGAATAATAGAAATTTGGATAAAAAGGCTTTACTGTCGTTACTGAAAGTGAGTTGATTTTGAAATAATGTCGTTACTCAAAATGCCTTGAGTTTGCAGTAGTGACATAACTCAAAATGCCTGGATTTAACTTTAATTTTACATTTCATTCATACAAAATTTCTTTTCAAAGATAATTACCAATGTGCAAACATCGTGATATAATATGTTTTGTACAATTTATCGTTTATGGGTATTTCTTAGTTTTGTTGATAAATAGAACTTCAATGTCAAATCATATATTCATATTTAAGTCTGAGAAATCATTCATGAAATATAATATTAAGAAGTGCACTTCAAAACAATGAAGGTTGTATCTAAAGCTTTACCTGTTGACTCATCACTGAACTTTGATGAATCTTGCATATTTACTTCTCTGGATTTACTGCAGATATTAATGTATCCAGTGGTTTGATCTGTAAAACATTTTGAGGTTTTCAAAAAAAAAGGTTTTTATACATTTGTAGACATGAAAATTATTTTAAAGCATTTGAAGATCACATGAGTATGGTTTATATAACAGGGGAAAACAAAAACATTACCAAACATAAAAACTGGTTTGTTACTATGAAGGCCATGATTGCATTTTTTTACTGCTCCAGTGAATGAAAACTGTAACTACCTTTCATCTCATACTCTATATATAGTGTGATGAAATGAAAATCATGGTTTCCATTAAATGAAAACCATTGAAAAAGTTTAAAACCCATGCCGACCAAAATTCTGACTTTATTTGCAAACCTCTGAATTGATTAACAATTGCCTCCCTAAAGATGATCAAGTTACACACTTTTTTGATCCATGACAATCCGAAGTAAATATGTGAAAGATATTACTTATACTAACCCTTTGGAGAAGAAGTTAGGTGAAATTCTTACAAAAACGTTTCCAACTGACGAATGATAGGCTTACCCAAAATGCATTTTTGAAAGAACACGGACAAAAAATGAAAATTGTACACAAAAGAAATGAATAGCTTCACTCTGTGGCATTTTTTATGTTCCACACATTTACACATTTATTAACTATTTTATGCAATTTAAGTATGCTTTAAAATTAGTTTAAAAAATCGCGTAATAGCCATTCGGATAAATAGGCAGAAGTGTCGTTACTCAAAATGCCTTGATTTCGAAAAGGTGTGGTAAAATAAAATTCCTTGATTTTAAAGAAGTAGCGTTACACAAAATGCCTTGATTTTGAAGTTATGTTGTTACTCAAAATGCCTTGATTGTAGGGCAGTGTCAATACTCAAAATGTCTTGATTTTGAAGAATTCTGTCTATTACTCATATAATTATAGGTTATTCCCATGCGCAATTTGACAAACCCTAATAACTTAACATCAATTTTACATTTTATTCATCAGAGCTTTTTTCAAAGATAATAATTACCAATTTGTTTACATCGTGATACCGTATGTTTTCTACATTTCATCGTTTAAGGGTACTTCTTAAGTATTGCAATAATAGAACTTCATTGTTAAGCCATATATTTATAATGAAGTCCAAACTCTCAAAAAATTATAGGACTGAACAGGACCTGAAATTTTATTTTTCAGACTTTCCCATTTCGCTCCTCATCCATAGCATGATTATATGCAGAAAAGAAAGTAAATGAATAACTATACTTTTTCAACAAAAGAAAACATAAACAATGTTTTATAACCTTTATTATTTGCATTTGAGTTGGTTTCTAAAGTTATATTCTTAACCAATCAAGGAAAACAATCTTAATGCAATTTATAACAGTGAAAAAACCTTATGTAGAATTAACTTTTCACTAGATATCATATGAAAACATTTAAGCTGTGCAAACTATTCCATCACAGGGAGCATGGTTTAAAGAAAAACCCAAATTACAGAACAACCCAAAGTCCGAGAAATTTAACTAGTACAAATCCTCTCCTAAACTCCTTTTAGATAATTGAAAAATTAACTCGTGTATACGTTTTAGAAAAGCATTTTCTTCTTCAATGTCATGGTTTTTTAACAGGCCCGTAATAGATTTTATTGTGTAAATTCACTCAAAGAACTCTTTAATTCAATTCCATTAAAAACATCATTGATTATTTAAAAGAGATAAACTTGTATTCTAGGATCTAAATGGCTCATTTTTCATTGTCATTTACAAAGTTTTACATAACATTTTAAGCCTATCATAGCATTCAGCACGATATGGCCAGTTATGTGTTGACGTGCCGTAAAAATCCTAAGAAACAAACAAAAACGTTTTGGAAAGATGCCTTATACATTAACAATAGAAACGAGTTTTTTTACATTACCAAAGAGTTCAATTGATTATGCATTTTGGTAAATATACGTCACTGTGAAAACAACAACATAATCATGTACAATGTTTTATTTATAAACATTTAATACTTAACACATGCCATATTCTCCACATGTCATTCCACATCTGTATTATACTCATCTAGGCCTATCATTCAACCAATTAAACAGAGCACCTGAACAAGTCGAGAACAAATTAATACGTCGTCACGCTTATGTGTGACGTCATATGAATAGTTGTTGATCACGTGACTACTATTTTGGTAAATATACGTCACTGTGAAAACAACAACATAATCATGTACAATGTTTATTTATAAACATTTAATACTTAACATATGCCATAAGTAATGAGTAAAAACTTTAAACTAAACTTTTGAACAAAAGAAAAAAAAATAAATATATAAATCAAAAATCAAAATAAAAATAAAATAAATGTATGTACATGTACTTATTTGTACAAATCACATTAACCTACTATACTTTCATGTGCTAGCATTGAACAAAATGTCCTTAATCGTGAAATATAACATCGTCAGTGAAATTATCAGGCGTTCTTGCATGAACATAATGAGCGAAAAAAAACCTCAGAATCCTTCCAAAGACCAACTTTTCTTACTATTTCTGGATTAATACCCTTTTCAATGGCAGAAGTAGCACCAGTGGGGCGAAATGATTTTGCTGAAAAACCTTGACCACCAAGACCAGCTAACGTTATGGCTTCTTCTAGTACCTTAGCTATTGAACTAGCCACTAAAGCCTTATAAGGGGGTCTTAAAGTAAGGAAAATAGCATTGTCAGAAGACCTATAATTTTTTGTTCTCTCAATGTAATCCTGCAGGGTTTGAACAGGATCTAACTTTACAATACTGGCACGAGGCAATACAATCTCAAAACCTGTACGTTTAGTATCATTCTTGATACCAAAAAAATGAATTTTGGCATCTTCATCGGAAAAAGCAACTTGATCAACAGCAAAAACCACCTTCCTAACACCATCTGTGTCAACAGTTTGAGCATTAGGAGCTATATCAGATGGTCTTAACATAGCTGTCAAGGCAAGCAGAGTAATGGCTTTAAGTCTCAGGGCTTTAATATCTAATGTATTGTTGTCCTCCCATTTCAAAAACAAATCATGAAAACTACTTGTAGGCATAACCTTAGACCTTTGCATGGGCCTGGAAGTACCTGACTTAACAAGAGCACAAATCAGCATCTTTATCTCATAACTATCAGCAATGTTTGGTAAACTTTATATATATGACCAATAGCAGCTGTAGCAGTACGTAATAGTGAGTTAGGCCTTTGTGACTTACACCCCATCAAAAATAAAAAATCTGCAAGATCTTTGTTTGCTAAAGGAGGAAAAGGACATGGTCTAGACAGGCAAAAATCATACAGTTTCTCTAATATGAGGTTATATGAACGAAGCGTACTTGGAGCAATACAAAACTGAAATCTATCAGAAACCTCTAATGACCAGCCCTTAAGTTCAAGTTTGTGCCTCCATATATCCTCCAAGCATACAGGGCCCATTTTCTGTTGCGGCAGGGTTCCGCTACTCCCATTGACCGACATACTCTCGGATTGTTTGGAAACCTCAATGGTGGGGAAATGGACATTTTGACTAGACGGTGGAACCAAGTCTGACCTAACCATTTTGGGGCTATCACAGTTGCATATGCTTTTTGTGTTTGAATAACATCTAACACTTTGTGAAGTAAGCAAAATGGGGCGTTTACAAAGTTGTTTTCTAAGTGCCAGTTGACCTGAGAAAGAGCGTCCACTGCTTCGGACAATGGTTCTCAGAACCGACTGTTGAACCTCTCTAACTGAGTGTTCTGACAATTTGCAAAGCGGTCGATGGTATGCGGACCCCAAAGTTTGTCTAGATATTTAAACAAATGCCGGTTTAACATCCAATTGTGTTTGTCGGGTGTCCTTGACCAATAATCCGACTCTCGATTGTTTACCCCTGATATATGTGCACACTTGACTGTGAGTCCAAGATCTATTGCGTCTGCCCATATTGCTATTGCTAAATTGGTAAGGGATGGACTTGGACCCCCCTTATGGTTAATATAAGCCACGGCTGATATATTGTCTGTTAAAATCTGAATACTCTTTCCCCGAATAAAGCTGGAAAAAGCCTTTAAAGCCATTAGTATAGCAAACATTTCCCTCTCGTTCGAAGACAGGTACGACATTCTTTTGTTCCAGTCGCCCGAAGCAACGTGACCTTTGTAAATAGCTCCCCAACCCAGATGGCTGGCATCCGTAACAATCTGACCTTGAACTACCTCTGTACATATTACTTTTTCATTCCAGTAATCAACAGATTCTAACCACCAATTAAGTTCTTGTAACACTTTAGGTGTAAGTGTAACCTGATTGGACCAACAACCTCTACACTTAGAAAGTAAACGATATGCGTTCCTGAGAAAAAAGCTTGCCAGGAGATACAACCCAAGATACAGATATGCACTGACCACAAATTTGCGCTAAAAACCTAAATATAATACGCTTGAGGTGTAACGCTTTACGTATGCTACGCTTTAGTTTAGAGGTACGAACAGAATGCGCCTTGACTCTTACATTTTCTACAGTGCTGTAAATGGAATACCCAATATATTTAATAGATCTAGATGGATTAAGTTGTGATTTATCAAAATTGATAGTAAAACCCAACTCAGTCAATGTTTGTAATAACTGGTCAACGTGATCAGTAGCAGTTGACCTACTAAAAGCCAACAGAAAATCATAAACAAACGCAGTAACACGTAATCCAATAGATCTAAGATAAACAATAACAGTGCGGATAACTTTGTTAAAATAATATGGACTAGCACACAAACCAAAAGGTAGAACTTTCCACCTGTAATATGTATTATCAAATCTAAAACCTAAAAAATCTCTACAGTTTACAGCAACAGGAATGTGAAAAAAAACATCTTTTATATCAGTTGTGACAAAATAATCTCCAGGTTTAATCAAATTAACAGTATCTCTAATGTCTTCATTTCTGTATTTGGGCACAGTACAATAAGAGTTTAGTTTTCACAAATCTGTGATGAGACGAAGATTGTTGTTCTTTTTTGGTACACAATGAATGGGATTAACACACGTTGGTTTTATATCACATTTT